TCAGTCAATTCATGACACTCAAAAAATACAGGAGCTTCTTCTTCCATGTTTGTATTATGTCCTCATGGGAGATGCATTTTACACAATGCAAGTCTTCTACTACAAACTGTCCATTCTCTTTATTCCTCAATCTGATTCAAGGTTTTACTCAACAAATTACTATTATTTGATCATTTATCATTTTTTTAGGCACTTCTGCGTATTTGTTGGTAACTCGGATGAACCTGTTGTTTCAGGGAGACTGAGTAAAGTCCTTGAACTTCCTCTGACTGCATGATCTAATCTGTATGAATGGACAGTGCATGGTCGATAAGAATAGAACAGATAAAAAGAACACATGAAATAAGTAATACGCACAGAAATAATATCAAATGAAGGGTTTAAATTGTCTATAGACTGGTAATATAAATTCCCTTACACTTGATACAGTGAATAATAGTTTCTACTGGAATGTAGAAAATAGAAATGCAGCTTGCTTTAGTTTGTACGGGCCTCATGTTCTGAGGTGTCATTAGTCTTCCTCTACCAATACAATAGTGGTGAATTGAAATTCATATGTGGCACTCAAAATGTTATAAAATAAAAATTTCAATATCCAGCTGCAAGTCAGATAATGTGGATGATCAAGCTATCAACTGTTTGAATGTGGCTTGGTTATACCGATGTTAAAATATGGCATCACTTCCTTTGTATAAATGTTTCCTTTATAACTTTAACATTTTTGAGTAATAACTGTGAAAATATTGGTGATAAAAATTGCAAAAATAAAAACAGTATCTAGGTCAAGATAAAGAGGCTTCCAGTAATTTTTATGGGGCCTTCTTTCATCTACATTGTGACCCACATTCCTCCTTTATGTTATAGTGAAAGGTTGTTAAATAATAAAAGAGCTGATATCCATTGTTAGACAACAGGTTGCTGTTAAAAAGAAAAACGAATTAGAATATGTTTAAGTAAAATAAAGAATCTTTAATCTGTGTGTATGTTTGCTGTGTTGTCTGTGTAGTGTGATCTAACAGGTGGCGTTCACCAGCTGTTTGGCAATCACTCCATCCACGGGGTGGAGGAAGCTGGAAGAGGCAGCCATAATGAAACCGTCAGCGTCTCCCAGTTCAGCGACCTCGCTGCCGGCTCCGTCCTCTACCTAACTTCTCCTGGCCTGGTCTGCGATGCGATAATTGAGGGGAGGTGGGGTGAGGAGACGGAACATTTCCTCCACAGGGTCACACATCATGAGCATCACGAGCATCACGAGCATCACGAGCATCATGAGCATCATGAGCACGAAGAGGGCAGGACGCAACATGACCACGATCACATAGATGTTCACGGATTAGAGATTGTGTTTGTAGAGCTCCGTCACCACTATGAGCCATCAAACAATGAGGTAAGTTTAGGACTACAGCATTATTTGTAGAGCCCATACATCCGTCATGATCCAACAGTCTCTTACTGCACACTCATGAATATATTTCACCTTCACATGTCTGATTTTTTAAATTAAAATCTATGAATTATACTCTGAGAAATCAACAAAAATGTTATGAACTCACATTTTTAGTGAAATTCAAGAAAAATCCTGGATCAGCCCCAAAATGGAAATAACTGGGGTCATTCCCCACCCCTCCACAAAATTCCATGAAAATCGGTTCCGTAGTTTTTGCGTAACCTTGAAAACAAATGCAGACAAAAACACGACCTCCTTGGTGGAGGTAGTGCCTGCTTTTCTACCCATCAAACATCTGTCCATCTTCATAATCTCTTAATCTTAATTTCTGACCTGGTAACAAGTCCAATGAGCTTTGAATGCACCTTTTTCACAGCAGACATTTTCTCTTGATGTAGCAATGAAAGAACTGTTGGAACCAAAGATAATTCCAGCTATGTTAGGTGTTTCACCTGTGTGACAAGTCAAGTAAAGTCCAAATATCTGCTGTAGAAGCTCAGGTTTATTTCTCTCCTCATGGACTGTTGAATCATTAAACATGCAGTGCAACAGTTGTTTTTCTCCCTTGCAGTATTTATTACTCAATATATCTTATCATAATTGGGTGATGCCTGCTGGGGCGGATCTGCATTAGTAAAACTCTTTTCATACCTTTTGTCCACGTCCCTCCTCTTCATCACCACTAGAGCTGTATAACAGCCAGCGACATCATGGCAGAAGTCAACGCATCGTTACCAGACCAGAAACAGGAAGTGGGTGCAGTTTTGGGCCAAGTCCTGTATCACGCTCTGCAGGGTCACTGCTTCATCAGCGAGTCCCTGCCAGAGAAGGGTTTCTTCCTGGATTACATCGTGGGCCGTCTGGGGTCAGAGAACTTCACTGTCGGGGGTAAATGTCCTGCAAAAAAAATGTGTAAATGTGCTGAACACCCACATGAATATCTAATGGTGCTCTTCATTTGGCCCCTGCAGATTTAGAGGCTCTTATGAGGAGTCTGAACATTGGGCCTGACCATGAACATGGGCACGAACACCACGAGGACGAACACGCTCATCATGATGACAGCGGTGCAAGACGGAGGAGGAGGAGCAGCCGTAACCATCATGAGGGACATGAAGGAAACAGCACCTGGGATCAGGTAAAAACTTTATGTCAACATTCAGGGCAGAAAACATCATCCGTTCATACCCGACCCGAGAACAAGCCATGAATCAAAGTAACTCCTGCACATTTCAACATATTTTAGCTCCGTAAATACCTGATTAAAATCATTGACTATCATTTAAAGTGTAATTCCTTACAGTGTCTGTGTGTTGCTGCAGTAACCGCTGATCTTAGTACCTGTAGGGGGCTTAGAAAGACCACCTTTACTAGTAGAACACTGTGCATCTTTAAAGAAAAAGATTAAACACACTCCAGTGTCTCACCGGCAGTTGGAACCAGAGCTTGAATGTTTTTTTTTTATTTCTCCCAGCGCTGTTTCTCAGCTGAAGAGCTGGTCCTGATCTTCGGCCTGGCTGCAAACAGCCCTGCCTCCTCGGGTCTGGGTCGGTCCGACGTGGCTCAGCTCAGCCCGGCGTTCGTCCAGCAGATACTGAGCAGAGCCTGCACAGAGATGACAGAGCAAGTGAGACCAGATGATCTCACCAGGACAGAGAGTAAGTGTATGGACTGGATTTTACGAGGTGGCGATGACTAAAAGTGAACCTACCTCTTTGGATGGAGATACTGGATGCACAAGTTGCACATTTTTGTTGATGACACTGATATGTCTCTCTGTTTTGCTTCTTCTGGAAGGATACATCTATGCCACCATCGCCAATGTGGTGATAACACTCACGTCCATGTTTGGCATCGTGCTGCTGCTGTGTACCGCATGTACCAGTGTGTTCCAGTTTTGTATCCAGTTCTGCATCAGTCTGGCTGTAGGTACACTGACTGGAGATGCCTTATTGCACCTGTTACCCATGGTGAGTCATTTCAACTGATTTAAAGTCACATCAAGAGAAGGCAAAAGACTGTAGAACAAGATGTTAAGTGAAAAATGTCAACATTTTGATTTATATTCATCAAAAAAACACTAGGTTGCACCAGGGTTCACCCGTTTCCCCAATGCATAAACTCTCTTGTCAATTTATGTGCCTATACTCAGCTGGACCTGGTCTTGTTGTCTATGTGTTCAGGTTCTAGGTTTACACGTGCACTCAGACAATGGCGGCGGCCACGACCACAGTCACCATGAAGAAACGCCAGATTACATTTACAAGATGTTGGTCGTGATAGCTGGGATTTACTACTTTTACCTGATGGAGACAATCTTCTCTCTGATCGCATACAAAGATAATCACCACCATCACCATCACCAGCACCATCACGCGGTAAGTAAAATAAAACACTACAGATAAAACTGTTATTATTCAGAACACGATGCTGATAAGAATATTGGCTGAACACAAGTTGTGACTTTTACAACATTGTCAATGAAATGAGAACTCAATGGCAACTGCTAACAAGTAAATCCAGTAATTTAATTTAAACGTATGTACGAACGTGACCTTAAAGTAAGAGATTCAAATTTTGTTGTGATTTATTTTATTTGTTTTCTTATCCGGATAACTCATTCGATTACTCCTCTTCCTCCGCTCTATATTCAGTTGTCTCTCTTTTTCTTTATAGGAAGAATCTGAGCCTCATCACTGTGACCATGGGAGGGTTTTAGAGATGTATCAACAGGAAAGGAGACAAAAACAAGACAAGTCAACCTCAAAAGCAGATCTGGTGAGAAACATTCATTAACGTTTCAGCTGATCCATTCTCTGGGTTAATATAACAGGGATCTCATTTACCTGCACAGAACAATATAAAATCCAAACAAAATAAGTTATATATGTATCCACCGAGACTAAAGTACTGAGGAATCTTCAGCTACATCTCCTGCAGTTTGTAAGACACAGATCTTGTAAAGCTGCATGAGTTATCTAATGTTTTAATAATATTATGTGACATAAATATTTCAGGTCGCCTATGAAAACAACGACAAATCACTTTCACAGGAAAAAGAGCGGACAAGAGGTGAGTAAGCACAACAAGAGTGATATCACCAAACTGTGATGACGGTGTTCATTGTCGTGGCACCGCCCGCCAACTATGACTTTGTCCACCTGCCTCTGCAGAACAGCGTTTGCTGCCTTACATGATAACCATCGGTGACGGGATCCACAACTTTGCAGACGGCTTAGCGATAGGTGCAGCTTTCTCCCTGTCATGGAAGTCTGGTTTGGCCACGTCTCTGGCTGTGCTCTGCCATGAGCTACCGCACGAACTGGGTAAAGAACACACACAAAAGCAGGACGTGAATGATTTGATCTTTTTTTTTTTTTCATACAATTTTTAACACCATCGTCCGGTTGCTTTTTCTTCTCTTTAGGGGATTTTGCCATTCTGCTGCACAGCGGCGTGTCCGTACGCAGGGCGCTGCTTTTAAACATCAGCAGTGCCATGACCTCGTTCATCGGCTTGTACATCGCTCTGTCGGTCGCCACAGACCTGGCAGCCAAACAGTGGATAGGTGCCATCACAGCAGGACTCTTTCTGTACGTGGGACTGGCTGATATGGTGAGTGGTTCTGCTCAAAGACAATAATAACAGAATGAGTTATGTTTACAAAAGTGGTTTGTGGGGGTGAATGTGAATCTGCATTGCTGTGAAACTGATCCCCCCCCCCAATCCAGGACAATAGACTAAGTAGCCTCCACCACTGTTTCTCTCTCCAGCTCCCCACCATGGTCCACATCAGCAACAAGAGACCCTGGCTGATGTTTCTGCTGCAGAGCGTCGGCCTTCTCACCGGGTGGGGAATCCTGCTGCTGCTGTCACTTTACGAAGAGAGGATCAGCTTTTAATGCACTGACTCGTACAAACAGCACGCCAGCACATTGGTGTGGCTTGTTTCTGGTGTAATCAATGCAAATTGTAAAATTGATGAATTAATAATATATATATTAACATCTATGCATGTTACACCCTAAGGACAGTATGAAAAAGCAGGGGAAAGGGTAAACAGAATACTGTCAGACACAGGAGGGTGAAGAAACTGTCAGATGAGGAGCTAATCCAGTGTTAGAGATTCTTGAAAAGTAATTAAAATTTGCTGTGTCTCTTAAATAACTTAAACTCCAAAGACCTGTGACCATGTAGCAAGTCTTTTTTACTGACTTTCTGCAGAGAAATTACACAGCGGCCTGCCTGTGACCTTCCCTTATTTGAATCCATGCAGTAAGTTAATAGTTTATTAGGTAGACCTGTAGTCATAGGAAAAACTTCTCACTACATTATTATACAATCCAGTACAACACCACAAACTACAGCCAGGAGAGTCAACGTTCTGGTGCTTAAAAACGAAAAAGAAAACATTAACTAATTCACATTTATTTTAACCAATGTTAGTTATTTCTCACATTTCTCACTCCATTGTTTCTTGTCGCTTTTTATTCCCTGGCTTTGCATTTTGTATCCAGGGACACAAGCACACACATCACCTTTAATCTGTTGACTTGACCGACACATTAAAGGGACAGAATAGATGCTGGACGGTTGAACACATGTTTCTTGGCACAATAAGAGCCAGTGCAGATGGTCTTTTTTTTCTTTCGTAGCACTGATAAATGTCTATAGACTAAGGTACATCTGTTGCTCTCCTTCCATTCTTTAGTGATGTGCATTTATGGTACAGCTTTGTACAGAAATGTTCTTTTCGTACGTTTTATTAAATGTATTTGGGAAAACAAACATGTCACATTTGCCAAAGAAAAAGTTATACAGTATAGAATTGATAATGATTGGTATAGCTTTTGTATATTTGGTATAAATTTTGTGTTTTTGCCTTGTTTGAAAAATTAAAAAAAATCTAAAACCTCATTAGGTGATTCAGTATGATCTGTTTTTTTCTTCGGCCTTAGTAGCATGTGGATAAAGACTTAAAGCAATTGTACTTTAAAAAATAACACTGAATCAGTTTTCACTCGGTTTCAGCATTTGGCCGATGTTCACATTCCTTCTTGCATTAGATCATGGGTCTTTAAAATATTATTTGCAATCTTGATGTGAATGAAGCCAGAGTTGCAGTGGACACTGGACTTTATTTTTATGTCTCATCTAATCTCCTAGACATGTGATCATCTTCATTAGGGACAGAGTCCACTGACAGCTCATTGCACAAAGACAGAGACGTATATGTTCACTGGGCACTTCATTCATACACCTGCTTATTCCTGCAGTTATCCAATTGGCTAATCACGTGGCAGCAGTGTGATGCACTTAAATCATAATGACAGATCAGGAGATCAGATTAGATATGGTTTAAATCTCACTTGAAGGACGGTAACTGCTTGTGTCTGCAATTCTACATCGAGCAGACAAAAAAGGCCTGTGGAGCTCCGCAAGGCTCCAGTCTGGGACCTCTTCTGTTCAACATATACATGCTCCCACCCGCTCAGATTATGGAAAACAACTAAATATGTTTCCACCCTCATGTAGATGGCACATACATTCATATAACCATATCATCAGGGGTCTGTAATCCCAGACAAGACAAGTCCCATGATTGGATGTACAATTTTCTTCAATCAAACAAACATGAAACAGAATTAATTGTTTCTAGAGACAAGAAAGTTTAAAACAACCAGAAATGTTGTCGTAGTCATGGACCTTAAATTCAACAGACACACTAAAAGACAACCCCAAAGTCATCCTACTATGACCTAGAGACAAGTTAAACTCAAGGAGTCGTTTCACTGATGCACACCTTCATTCCATCTTGAGAGTTTCCACAGCAAAGAACCTAACCCCAAACTTTAATGAACTGGCAGCCAAGAAAAGATGCCAGAGGATCTGGATAAACTTGTCCAAGACTTTATCTGACTTGGCTACTGTAATGGTGAGTTCGCAGGCCTCTAAAAAGATTGATCAGACAGCTGCAGCTGATTTAGAACACTGCTGCCTTCCTCCATTATGACAGTGAACCATATCAAAAAGCAAACATTGAAAAGTTGAAACTAGTTTTGAGGGCATGAGAATTAGTTTACTGATTCAGACCTGAATCAGACACTTTAGCGTCATCCCTGATTCAGACCTGAATCCTGTAAAGAAAAAAAAAACCTTTGTGATGTGGCAGGGTAAATGTGGAGCTGACAAATATTTAAGTCAAGTCAACATGGAACAGAATCTCTGAAGAATGTTTCCTACGTCTTGTGGAATCCATTCCATGAAGAATGAAGAGCTGTTTGCAGAAGTGACGCCCTAACATGATTGGGAAAGAGCTCAGTGGTGAAGTTACCTGCATGGGTTGCACGTGCAGTATATGCTTGCACATCCACTTTCTGTCAGACAAAATGACCCATTTAATGACCACATGTACTGCAGGTTGAGTGCTGATCCTTTAAGCACATGTTGTAAAAAATGACCGAGATTGCAGCATGTGGCTGCTGACTGAGGAAAACTGGAATTTCCTGAAGTCAGCCTCTTAACACTCTACAGAACATTTCAAGAGGTTCAATGAGCTCTGTGACTCATGTAACTTTTCAAATGAAACTTTTAAATCACACCTAAAACTGGACCTTTGAGCACCATATACATTATACTGGATGATACATACAGTAGTGTTGTTGATAGACCCAGTCAGAGAGACTACCCTGCCAATCTGTGGAAAGCAGGATGGGAGGTTTTACGACTTCATAAAGATGTTTATGAAGCAGTAATCCAGTGACACAGAAAGAAAATAAAATAAAAAGAGCCACTTAATGCATGAAATGTAAAAGCTGACTGCTTGTCTTACTGTCACGTCTGAAGTGGAAATGATCATTTGTGGTAGCACATGTACAGTAAATAGTGGTAAAGCCTTAAAGACTACAGTGCATAAAAATGAGTGGTGAGACTGAATGACTGTTATTAAGAGGACTAAGTGAGTAATGGACATTCAGCTGAATCTATTACAGTGTTAGAGTAGGGCTGGTTGTACCGGTCATGTCCCACATTTAGACATCTGTATGTTGCAGTGGGTGACGACATGTCTCTAGTCTGAGTATCTGACACTGTTGCACTGAGCCTTCTTGCTATCCCGTTAAAAAAAAAACATAATGTCTGTTGATAATTTCTGTATGTTTTTGTTTTTCTTTCAGGAACTTGAATAAATAAAGTTCGGATCAGAAGTCATTTCTCTCTCTGTGCCACATATTTATGAAAGAGAAAATGTACACCACATGAAACAATTACTATTTTTCGTGTCTCGAAAAATCGTTTGACAACTTTATGCTTGAAAGAAATGACATCCTCTCCTGCTGTGGTTTTCAACCTAGGGGTTGGGTAAATATCCTTGTATCCTGGTTATCACAGAATGAAAAAATATGAAGGTCAGCTGAAACTTCACATGGAGTCTGAAGCTATTCTACTAAAGGCTCAGTCTCGTTTAATAATAAACATCCCCAGGGAGTGGCTGTTTGCAGATTGCACATCGATCACCGTCACTGACCTTCTTTGGTTAACCTTTCTGGGAAAGTCAATACCCCTGTTTCACCCTCAAAGATATTTGTACTTTCACAAGAAAGTAAATAAGCTGAGCTATGGTGTCGGCCATAAACCCTAACACATTTTCAAACATTGCTTTTTGTCATGCGTGTTTTAAAAACAGAACTGCTGCAGCACCGTGGTTTAAATGAACTCCTCCACATATATTAATAAATGGTGGAACGCTGACTCCTCAGGATACATGTGCTCACTGGACAGATTTCCTGACATTTTATGACATTATGTCAGAGTCAAAGCAGATATGTAAAAGCCAGAGTCCACTATTGAAACACAGTGGAGAGCTGGTCAGGCTGCCACCTCAGCCCTGCAGCAGCACTGCTGGTTTTAATCCCAAATGTTGGTATGGTTGTGTTTCATCTGCCTGATTCTATAGAGCATGTTGAGAGTGAAATGACAGAACTCAGGTCTGTGCAGTGAACATGAAGCCGTGGCCAGGAGACAGCCAGGAGACAGCCAGCCGTTTCCCTGTTTCCATACTTTGTGCTGTGCTAAGCTAAGCTAAGCGACTTCTAGCTGTAGCTTTATATATAACATACAAACATCAGAGACGTACTGATCTTCTTATCTCAGCAAGAAAACAAGTAATTTCCCATCAGGTCTAAACATTTTCTACATCAGATCAAGCAGTTGTAACTTAACTGTAATAAACAGATGCGCGTCCTTTCACTGCACAGGTCTTTACAGCAACATGAGACAATTAAACCTCGAATTGTTAAAGTTTATGACTCACAAGGTCCATGTCTGTCTGCTGCGGTTGAGAAAATGTTTAACAAAGAAAATCCTGCAACTGACTTCAGATAGTGACTCATCATAACAGATTACATTTTTTACCAAGCAAGAGTCATAAATTATTCCTGTCAGTACAAGTAAATATTAGTGTTCTTATCTTTTTTCTTACTTCTTGAATCAACACAGAGTTGACACAGAGAAATGGTGGGAGGAAAATTCTCCACTTTTTTTTTTGCTCTTTTTAATTTTTCTTCCTCATCATCTGAGGATTTAAGTTTTTAAATATTAAGAAATAGTTTTGTGTCAAGAAAAAATAAACACCCTCTCTGCCTACAAGTTTCCTAAAGAGATTTTCCTGACATATTTTAAATGAATGTCACTGCGCGGCCAAGCTAGAAAAAATAGATTTTATTTTATTACAACCCACACAAAAAACTTTTTAACATGTATACAAAAACACAGAAAACAGCATAATTTAAATTACCCAACAATATGGTGTAAAGGTGTTTTATGGTAGAATTGTGCATCCTCAGCATGCGTGTTCGTGCATGTTCGGTCAGTTACTTGAAGTATATGATTTCCTGAGTGGCCAGTCTGATGAGCTGGTTAAAGTCGAACTGAATGTACTTCCTCCAGTAGCGTCTGTCTCGGCCGTAGGTCAGGGCAGGATAGCACGGACTGCCTGAGAAACAGAGTTCATCTTAAGTAAGTGTAAGTCGTTACTTAAGGAATAAATCCTCATTCACAGATAAATGCACTTTAAACTGGGCAGGAATTTTGGATTAGTTACACATGACTCATCCTTACCGACAATCCAGGGAGATACAGATAAAACGGTGTTGGTACTTTCCACCTCCGCGACACAATGTTACATTCTTCCTGAGCAGTGTTGAAATCAAGAGCCCCTTTTTTCTGCACGCCTTTGGTTTGCCATTAAATAAACCACTGAATTCTTCCTTATTCTACACAGATCCTCTGAAATTGCATCGACTAAGTTTGTGTGTATACGGGACAGATACATAGGGAAATCAGTGAGCATGTATTAAGGTGCTTGTGCATCGTCACCTTGTAAATATATGTTTTTAAATTGAGACAATATGATCTGTGAACCCTGTTAATTTTTTTTCAAAATCAGAGCTCAGTTTTATTCACACTTATACTTCTAACAGTGTCAATGTCATTTTTCTCCCCATTAATCCTATAGCACCCTCTAGAGGTCCAGAGCTTCCATGGTAAACGTCACTGGATCAGGTATGGTTAAGCCAGTGCTCTTCCTTTCAGTGGAGAGTTTTTGCTCAGTGGTGAAAATGAAACGTTCACCAAATTTCAAATACAGCAAAAGAGCAACTATCATTCACAAAAAAAGGGGGCAAACGAAATCACGTGCATGTACCAGTGCTACTAGTGGAAAGGTAATCTCTGTTAATGTCAGAGGACGTTCATATGTTCCTGTGCTCTCACCTATGCCGTGGAGGATTCTGGCAACAGCTCTTCCAGAAAACTTCTCGTCGCTCCGGTTTGAGAGAAAACTTCTGATGTCCGCTCGGATCTGATTTTCAAAGTCCAACAGCTGCAAAGACAAATATACAAGTAAACCAGAATATTCAGAGCATCTAAGACACAATTTGAGCTCAAACGCCAGATATCCGTGCTGTGTGTTTTACTTTATATTTGTCGAGCTCCTCAAGCTCCATTGTTTTGAGTGTGTGCTCTCTGTCTCGCCGCTTGTCAAAGTATTCAGAGAGAAGGTTTTTCAGCTGCAGACTGCGGGACGCATCCAAGTCATGGACACAGGACAAGACGCTCTGGAAGGCAACACTGCAACAAAGCGCGCGCACACACACACACACACACACACACACACACACACACACACACACACA